GACAAATTGGTTTAAGCTAGTAAGAATTCGGTTCAGAGACTGGGGTTTAGTGTTTTAGCAATTCAGAAAAGAAAAAAAAAAAAAACATTAATGTATATTAAAAAGACATTCAGGACCAACTACCTCAGTCAAGCACTGAATGACCATGGAATGACCTTTGGGACAATCCCATCCTAAACATTATGTTAAAAAAAAGGGAAATTGGAACACAAACTGTATTTGGTGCTGTTCTGGCCAGAGCACTGCACAGTAGAAACCAAAGCACTTTAAATAAATGTGAATTATAGTGTGCAGTGTGGAATAACGCACAAACTAATGCTGAATGATGTAAAATGTCATGTTGCATCAAAGGGAATTTTAATGTGGTCTAAACCGAATGGAACAGGAGCTGTATTTTTTGCAGTGATTAAGTGATGGTGCACTTGGCTGGTCAGTTGTCTGGTTTAGACAGGAAGTTGCAATGGCCTGCATTTTCAGAACATATGGACACTTGTTTTAAATCCTACATTCATTACAACACCATATTGTCACCAAAATTAGGATGTCTTTAGCATTCTATGTATTAAGCGTTGCTCCAAAAGAAAACATGCATACCTTAAATGCATTGTAAATGGCTTTGGATTAAAGCCAAATGCATTCATATACATAAAAATGTCTGTATCTATCTCCAGAACCTTTTGATACATCATAACAAAGGGTTGCACTGTAGGTATGAATTTCAGTGAGAGCATAGTAAGTGTATGTGTGTGCGTGTGTAACAATTCTATCTGCATTCCAACATCTTTTTTCTTCCTCAATTCACATGTATGCCAGAAAATAAAAGAGCTCTCAGTACCATATATAGAATTACACTACAAAAATAGAACTAACAGACGGCATTTACAAATATTCAAACTATTAACACAGAAGATTATTACTAGGCGATATCATCATCCACCACTACAACTGTTTATAGGAATGACACAATATGATGACATGCAAAACCTATAAAATGAAACAATGACTAAAATGTATATTATAAATGGGCAATAAAATTTCCTTCTCTTGTGTCACAGCAATGAAAGGAGAGGGTAACAGCCAACCTTGTTTTAACAATAAAAAGAACTGTTTTAACAATAACAGCTGACATAATGGCAAGAACTCATAGTTGCCAGAACTCAACTGGCTGAAATCATAGTTTCAAAGAAGAGATGATGTCATTCAACCATGTTTTTCAAGCTGATACAAGGGGTGCGATAAGGAGCAGCAATAAATCAGCACAACAGCAATTTAGGACGACACTTCCCAACCAGATTTTGTCTTATCTTTGTGATGCGTATAATTGTGGCAGCATTGTGCAGTTCTGTTGTACTTTTCATGCACATGATGAATTATTTGGCCGAATGGATACTGACCAACATTATAGAGAAACAACTCAAGACCAACGACAGAGAAATAATATTTTAGATGTCCTGTTGTATCTGTGTATATTCATTCAGTACATGTGTGTTCTTCTTGCACACTTACACAGAATACAGCAAATCTTACTTTCACACAAGTCAAAGTCTATGCCAACTGTACTCTGTACTCTTTTGCAGGGAAAGAAAACCAGTTGAGCACTTCCACTGTTTTTCTGAGATATTTGAGCACCCAATCTTTGACGTCTTGTCCTTGATGTGAGGTTACATATGAGCTTCGGTGGGTTGCTGGGGAAAATCCACTGCAATATGTAATGTAAAATTGTCTTGATAAGACTTTTTCATATTTCTTAACCTGTCTGTTATGCTGTGGAAAATAAACACATTTTAAATGCGTTTTCTGCAGAAATATTTATTTAGGCACAAAGGAACGCAGGCCCTTTGGTATTCATGTCTCCTACAAAGACTCATTTTGATAGAGAGTGCACTGATGGCTTTATCTATAGGAATATAGTTTGGCTTTGCAATGCCCTCTGGAATATACTGGCAGCCCTGGTTTTGTCTTTGTTCAAGCTAAGTGCTTAGCAAGTGTTATTGTTGGCTTGCTGTTCGGTTTCCCTCCCGTTTGAGGCCTGAGCTCTCTGCAGTGCCCCCAAACAAATACTGAGGGCCCAGCCTTTGTGAGAACCACTATGAACTACTGCCTAGAGAGGCACGAAACAGGTCTTAAATGACCAGCTGGTGTGCTTTATTTTCTCAGGTGGACATAAATATAAGACAAATATTGTATTGGATAACCATGTTGCCAACTATTGGATAACCATGATGCAACCGAATTAGCTCCTGGTGTGAACATTCATGTAAGCCAATGCCATTTTGCAAGTGATTATAAATTGTCATGTTTGGTTTATGATGCAAGGAAGAATCATTCAACTGTTCTGCTGTAACCACAAAAAAAACAAACAATCAAAAAGCTCCAGTTAGTTAGAACTAAGTAGAGATATGACTATTGGATAAAGCAATGTTCTTATTATAAAACAGATTTGATTTATAACTTTATTCTCTGTTGCTTAACCTATCAGCTTTAGGTAAAAGAATCGGTGCTCTTTTTTTGGGAGTGGTTCTGTCTCTGTATGTTTATTTAAACACAGCTGCTGTTTGGGGAAAAGGACACTGACATCATAACAATGTTTGCCCAAATGGAACCAAAGAGGCTCGGTTCACATCGTAGAATTTTTTTAAATGATTGGAACAGTCATTCGGACATGGCAATAAACCAAATATGTATTTAGAACCAATGGCTACGTCCAAAATGAGGCATAAGAGAAGAAATCTGTATTTATAGATTTTAATAGCTCATAAAAAAAGAAAGTTAAGTGTAGCCTATTCCACACACAACGGGAAATGTACCAAGCACACACTGACATCTTGTGGTGCATTATGGTAAAATGTCCTGCTGGGTTCTGAGGGTTTTATTTTGTATAGGGTTTTTATTTTTGTATTTGATTAATTCATTTCGATTGTTTGTTTATTTCTTTAAGTGGTTACAAGTGCATTTTTGTATATCTATGCTTTGTTATTTTATTTTATTTATTTTTAGTGCTAAAACCAAAAAAACAAACCTGCAGGAAAAATGTCCTGAAGTAAGCTGTTACTTTTCTCATGAACAGTAAAGCATATTTTATTGTTTGCAAAACAACTCACGGCACACACATTTTATATTAATAAATGCAATGCTGTAGATTTGCATATCAATAGTCTATTATAGCTGTCTTGATGTTTTCAGATATATTTCATATTATGAATGTCACACTTGTCACACAACTGAATCTTGACTGAATTCTTACCGAACTCTAGATTAAAAATGTAGGCTTTGAACAAGGACAATACTGTATGCAGAGGATTGAGAGCGTAGAAACATGAAGGATAGACACCAGGGGTCACTATTGGCTTTTTTTTTTTCTCAAATACATTGTAAGATTTATTTCATACTCACTCACAACACCAGTTACTAAGAATTATTCAAAATGTTAGTGATAGGGGGCCTCAGAAAATACAATAGCATTCTATTGGGTAAAAATTTGATTAGAGTTTGGTCACACTTTAGTTTGAGGACCAATTCTCACTATTAACTAACTATTAACTACGATTTTGCCTCAATAAACTCCTAATTTGCTGATTTTTAACTGTTAGTAATAAGTTAGTTGTTAAGTTTAGGTGTGGGGTAGGGTTAAGGGATCTAAAATATGGTCCTGCAGAATAAGGCATTAATATGTGTTTTATAAGTACTAATAAACAGCCACTATGCTAATATGATATTAACCAACTAGTTAATAGTGAGAATTGTTCAAATAAGTGTTACCAAAAAGTACATTTTCAAATTAAACTCATTATTTGACCTATATAAAATAGGTTAGAAAATAATGATTTTAATAATGATAATTGACAAATGTCACCCAAGTCTTTTAACTACGCTTATCTTTAGCTAAGTAACTTACCACAGTAGTAGACTATGTAATTCTGCATTCAGCTAAGTCACTTACCACAGCAGTAGACAATGTACTTCTGCATTCATTGTTTTAGCATTGTTGTAAAATACTGTCCACATGGATCAGTGTTTCTATTCTAAGGACTGTTGATGTTCTTTGTCACCTTTTGCATGGCACAAGTTCATTCATCTTTCAGCAAATGTCTGACATCATCTGAGTGTTCAGTCTACACAGAAACTGCAATCTGCAAAGCAACATACTGCTGACATGTCTTGGCAGTTCTGTAGCCTAAATTACTTTACAATATTTTTAGTTATAAGAGCATAGTGGCCAATCATTACCACCACTAAAGCTGTCATAAATCTACCCAGGACAAACGTGGCCACATCTGATCATGACAGTGGTTGGCTATTTTGTTGTGAACACATTACCACTATTTTCTTGACTAGTTACAATGATGTGGCACAAGTTATGGCCAAGGTAACCTGCATAATTATAGACCTAATTGTGGACTAAACTGGTCTGACTGTTGGAGGGAGAATTTAGAAACAATAAAATTCTATGCCAGATCCATAAATCTCAAGGTCCTCTTGCAGCCCATTTTGTCACAACAAAATTTATTATGAAATTTGCTCAACATAGCTGTCAACAATGTGATATTAGAGCGTTGCTACATAAGCTACTAGGATATGTTTAAGTGCTCTGTTTACAGTTCTATCTATCTATCTATCTATCTATCTATCTATCTATCTATCTGTCTGTCTATCTGTCTGTCTGTCTGTCTGTCTGTCTGTCGTCACCAGAGTTGGCATGTAAACAATTACACTATTGCTAAATCGTATAAAGTGCAGAAATAGCATATAGAAAATAATAAATTAAATATATCTAAGTAAAAAAATAAAATAGGCAAATAGAATACAATTCAAATGGAATTAATTTAGAAAATATTTAGAAATAGGATATTTAGAAATATATGGTTATGCGAAACAAAATCTGTCTATTTCTGATGATCAAAAACTAAAACTTACATCGTTCGCCCACCCATAATGTGAAACGATGTGAATGTGGTACACCGCGAGGGCGGGCTTGTAGTACTGACGTCATCAGCTGGGTGTCTCTCGCCCGGCTTTGGGCTCCTGTCTTCTCTCTCTCTCCCTCCCTGTGAAGCGAACAGGGGGGAGAAGATCTTTAAAAAAAAAGCCAGGAACGGCGACAGTTACAGCGGCTGCGGTTCCGACGCCTGTGCGCGATCCTCCCTCTCAGTCACCGCCGACACTCGCACCGATGCGCGCGCTCACCCATCTTCACCAGACACCACCGCATCACACCACTGCGCCTGCAGTCTGAAATTTACCTCCCCCTTCTTTTATTGTTGTAGTTGTTGAGCATCCGACATACGACCAACCATCGAGACGCAAACACTTTCATTTCAACCCTTCATCTGAATGACGGGCGGACGGTTCGACTTCGACGATGGCGGCACTTTCTGCGGTGGATGGGAGGACGGAAAAGCCCACGGACACGGCATCTGCACCGGCCCCAAGGGCCAGGGCGAATACTCCGGGTCCTGGTCCAACGGGTTTGAGGTAGTCGGGGTGTACACCTGGCCCAGTGGAAATACATACAATGGTTACTGGGCGCAGGGGAAACGGCACGGGCTCGGCGTGGAGTCCAAGGGGAGGTGGCTGTACCGCGGGGAGTGGAGTCACGGATTTAAGGGTCGGTATGGGGTTCGCCAGAGCCTCAATACACCTGCCAGGTATGAAGGCACATGGAGTAATGGACTGCAAGATGGATATGGGGTCGAGACATACGGAGATGGGGGTGAGTGCAGCTAAACATCACTTAACCTATTTACTGTTCTTTAAAGTCTTGCGTGTATGTGATGCCGCTGCCGAGGGAAATCATGTCTCTGTTTTATAATACATCACTATAAAACAAATGCCTCTTATGAATAATATAAGGATACTTTTTTTTCTTCCATTTTAGTGAGGGATCAAACAAGATTGCGTCTGGTAGTGCTTGAGTTATTTATAGTGCCTAGATTTTGCCCCTAAATAATTGGCTACAGATTTATGAAGCAGTACGTTTGTCCATGCAGTTGAGTTGATGCATGGCATATAACTGGAGTGGTCAGCAGAAGTTGCTCACAGAGGTCATGGCTAATAATAGTTACATCTGCAACATGTCAAATCAAAGCTCTTCTAGCAGACTAGTAGACTAGAAGACAAGTTCTTGTCTCTGCTTATTTCTTTTGCAAGAAATATTTGTGCTACATGAAAATTCTGTGCTGTCATTTGTTGGAAGATAAATCGTAAAATGGAGATATTTCAAAATGTGTATTGTCCACCTGTTAATTTAATTCACTTGTTTATACAGTGTACAGTGTACACTTTGGGGATAGTTCACCCAAAAATGAATGTCATTATTTACTCACCCTCATGTCGAACCAAACCTGTATGAATTTCTTTCTTCTGCTGAGAAGATATTTTGAAGAATTTGGGAAAATGTCTGTAATGGGGGTAACCAGACAATTGATGGTATTGGCTTCCATAGTATTTTTTCATGTTATGGAAGTCAATGGCTTCCATCAACATTCTTAAAAATGTCTTATTTTGTGTTCAACAGAAGAAAAAATCTCATACAGGTTTGGAACAACAGGATTTAAATTTTTGGGTGAACTATCACTTTAAAATACACTGACCATGTTTCACACATTAAAAGTGACATTTTGGTGCCTATATATTTTACAGGTTATAAGCATACTCTATATATCATTAATTAATATAATGTTAATATACAAATGCACTTTTGTATCAGTGGTGAAATAAAAGGCCACAAGGTGAATTTAAATGAATTAAAAATAATTCTATTAACTAATCAACATAGGAGCCATAATGTATTGCCTTGTTAAACATAATACATGTTTACACTGTATATTTTATATATAGGCCTATATACTGTATATATGCACTCACTCACTCACACGCACGCACACACACACACACACACACACACATATATATATATCTCTTTAAAATACTGAAAGATATATAGTCAAAACTGATTAGCTTATATTAAGATTTTTTTATTAAATTTAACTAAACTACAAAGTGATTAAACAGCACCACTATTCAAATTATTTTTAGATTGCGTAGTAATATATTATGAAGTCTTTTAAGAAGAAATTTAAATCCGAGGTAAATTGATATTTGGCAAGGACCTATACTGTCGAATTTATGAGGCAGGGTCACACATTACCGCTTACTCATAACTCACTTTCTTCTTCTGCAAAGAATCCTGAAAATAGGCTCTTTTGCACTCTGTATATCATAAGTCACTTCTATTCTGCCTGTTTACCTATTATTGGAATATTAGCTTCTCAGCATTACTGCTGTAGAGAAAATGACATATGCAGAATCATAAGGAATGAGTGGATAAATAGGTAAATAAATAAGAGTTATGGTTGGCTGGAGTCACAAACTTCACAACGGCTCAGATTACTTCCATGTTTTAAAATAGTGCTGGCTCTGCTGTTGAAGCTGTTAGGTCTGACAGGCCAGCATATGAGATATAGAAGGGAGAGCTGTTCACTTCGTCACTTCAGCGTCATAATGCGGATAGGATTACACCTGTATATTACTAACCTGACAATAATTTATTCAGTTATAATCTGGTGTTATTTTATTTATGCATTTTAACACTTTGTATATTTACTGAAGGTCAGATTAAAAAACTTTTCACCTAGATTATGACTATAGCACCAGCGCTATATATCTATATTATATCTGTATCGAATAGTGAGGACATACAAAACAGTTCAAATGTTTGGGGTCAGTTATTTATATGTTTATTTTGACAGAAATGAATAACAGTGACAGTAAAGACATTTACAATGTTACAAAAGATTTCTATTTCAAATAAATACTGTACTTTTAAACTTTCTATTCATCAAAGAATCACGGTTTCCATAAAAATATTAAGCGGCACAACTGTTTTAACATTGGTGATAATAATAAGAAATGTTTCTTGTGCACCAAATCAGCATATAAAGATGATTTCTGAAGGATCATGTGACACTGAACACTGGAGTAATGGCAGCTGAATATTCGGCCTTTCCATTACATGAATAAATTACATTTTCAAATATATTATAAACAGAAAACACTTACTTCAAATTGTAATAATATTTCACAATATTACTGTTTTATTGTATTTTTTTTAATCAAATAATTGCAGCCATGATGAGCATAAGTGACTTCTTTCAAAAACAATATCTTACCGACGCCAAACTTGTGAACAGTATTGTGTTTTGAAAGATTATAATCTTGGTTCCTGATGGTAAATTGTTTTTGAAGTGATTTGTTACTAAGTGGATGCTTCCATCCAGCAAACTGTCTTTATTGTTAAATTCAGCCTTTTAATAGAATAAAATATATTAGGATATAATTTAAGAAGTTTGATTACTGATACTGTTTTTAGTATTCATGGAATGCAAAAAAATAAAGAAATAAAATATATATTTTTATATATATTTATATATATAAATTATTATTTAAATAATCCTTTTATATTAATTATTTAAATGAGTCCATCATTTAATCTAATTAGCTTGGAAATATTGTAACACCTAAATAAAAAAAAATTCTAAGCATTGCTTAAAAAACATCAAAGCACACTGACATGTGAGTTCCTATGGTGTTTTCTTTTTTTTTAATAATCCCTGTATTATGTGTTATGCAATATCTAGACTAAAGTCTCTCTAATCCCTTTGCCAGGTACGTACCAGGGCCAGTGGATGGGCGGCATGCGACACGGCTATGGCGTACGTCAGAGCGTGCCTTACGGCATGGCCACTGTCATCCGCTCCCCGCTGCGTACCTCGCTGGCCTCCCTCCGCAGCGAGCAGAGTAACGGCTCCGTACTTCACGACCACATGTCCGACAGCCCCGCTGGCACCCGGGGCGGCTTTGTCCTGAACTTCCACAGCGACAGCGAAGTGGGCTCCGGCAAAAAAAAGGGCCTTTTCAGACGGGGTTCGCTGTTCGGGAGCCTCAAGCAGCTGAGGAAGTCAGACTCCCGTTCTTCCATATCCAGCAAGCGCAGTTCAGCACGAAGTGACGCCACCATGAGCCGCATCAGCTCTAGCGACGCAAACTCCACCATTAGTTTTGGCGATGGAGAAGTGGCCGACGAGTACATGCCGGCTGAGGACAATGTCGATGCCACCACCACCGAGTCGTACATGGGCGAGTGGAAGAATGACAAGCGGAATGGTTTCGGTGTCAGTGAGCGCTCCAATGGGATGAAATACGAAGGCGAGTGGATAAGCAACAAACGCCACGGCTACGGGTGCACGATATTTCCTGATGGGACGAAAGAAGAGGGGAAGTACAAAAATAACATTTTGGTGCGTGGCATCAAGAAGCAGCTTATTCCCCTCAAGAACACCAAAACGAAGCAGAAAGTGGACCGTGCCGTTGAAGGAGCCATAAGAGCGTCTGCCATTGCCCGAACAAAAGTAGAAATTGCCACCTCAAGGTTAATACTTCCTCCAGATCAATCCTACACCACACAATCAATTGCATCTTAAAGGTCTAATTACTACAAGATTTATCTCACTCTTTCTAAACTCTTTCTTTCTTTACTTGCACATAAAACATACGTTTTCTTCATCTAACCAACAGTATTGCTCACAATAATTACATTACTCCAACCAACATAGCACCTGCATGCTGTATCCCCAGCTGTACAGGAGTTGAAGGCTGCTCATCCCCCCTCATACGAATGAGTGAAACGCGGCAGGGAGGAGACCAGGCGAACAGCTATTGTGCAGAAGAGCCCCATTGAATAGTCTGTTTGCATGAGTGCCATCACATGCCCCCCGGCCATAGCTCTCATACTGATCACATAATCAATGCAGGGCCAACAGGATGTCCTGACTGAAGTCACAGAGGAGTCGGGGTGCCAGTTGTCATGTTTATAATCATTTAAACATTTTTAGAGGAGAAATTGTGTGATACTTTTATGCAATACTGCTCATTACGACAATTACAAGGCCTATATGTTCCTAAGAGAGGTTAAGAATAGATGTGTATAGCTCAAAGGAGATACTTATGTAATTTTGGTGGTATGTGTAAATCAAATGGCAAATGCATTTGCAAAGGCGAAGCTGCTTCATTCCTCTGGGTATGAATTACCATCAGTTCTTCTTTTTATATCTGTTATCTATAACACATAATTATCGATTAAATCACACATGGAATTGTGGAGGAAATGTTCGATATTGTTTTCTAAACACAACAACAGATTTTCCCACTCATTCATTTCTTTACTCTTGTAATTCATCAACACAGCTGGCTAAAGGCACAAATCGATTTTTGCAAGTTGAAGCAGGTTGTGAAGATCAGAGTGTGTTAAACAGGGACTCAGTAATGTTGTGTGAGCTGAGTGGTACCTCTGATTCATGTAAGGACATGTGAGCCTATAGGCTAGTGCTAGTGCTGGTATAAAGTACTGGTGTTGAAGCAGATTCTGAAGTAGGAGAAATTTCTCACTTGTTTAGTATTAATGTCTTCAATTTGAGAAACACATGTAGTTATTCATTTTTGTTCCTCAGACCTTTCTTCCTCTCACAACATGCATCAGAGAGTAGTAAGGATGACAATATTATGCTTAAAGGGACAGTACACCCAAAAATGAAACTTATGTCATCATTTACTCACTTCACGTTGTTCCAAACTTGTATGACTTCAGTGGAATACGAAAATTTGAATGTATATATTAATATAGAATATCCTGCCCATGCATTTCAATGTGAGTGAATGAGGACTGATGCTGTCAAGCTTCAAAATGGCAAAAAAGCATCATAAAAATATAATAAAAGTGGTCCATATGACTTGCATGCTGAAAATCTTTCCTGGCTGTTTTCTTCTGAGTTCAGTAGCAATATCAGATTTGTGAATGAATCATTCTTTTTAACCAAGCAGTTTATTCTGTTCAGAAAACAGATCTGAATGCTTCAGTTTAATGAATCGGACTGATCTGGTTCTCGATTTCAGCTCACTTAATCATTGATCTGATCTCAGTGGTTAACAACTCACTGATGATTATCAGTGAATAATTACCTAAATTTCAGTCTGTTCATCAAACAAAGCTATTGTAAAACTTTATCTGAATCATTTTTGTGATGCTTTTAAAAGCTTGAAAGCTCCAATCTTTATTCCTTGTAATTTCAGGAGTGACCTCCTTACTCCGTTATTCTTGCTTTTGTGTTCTACGAAAGAAAGTCAAGTGAAATGTAAATAGTGATTAAATAATGGCACAATGTTCATTTTTGGGGTTGAACTATTCTTTTATTTAGCGTTTCGTCATTGTGTTTTTCATGTGCAGGTTTATGTATTTAGGGCTTTTTACTTAAGAAGCCCTAACTTGAACGTTTTCCTTTGCTCTATTAATGCAGTTATTTACTTATTTTTTTTCGGTACAAAAACCATGTCCTTGTCCTGTTCATTCATTACCATGTGCTTCTTTCTGATAGCTAAAAGAATATGAATTTTAATGAAAGCTGCAATAATGAGGCTTGCACAGTCCATGCAGCTAATGAAATAGTAATATGTCCCAGAGCTGCTGGATGAATTAAATATCTCTCAGTGCCTTTGAAGATTGTTACGCAGAGAAGTGATAAGCACTGTGAGGGTTCAGGGAATGTGTGGAGAGTCTGAGAAGGCTTTGGATTGACTTGAAGGAGTCTAGAAACGAGAGAGAGAGAGAGAGAGAGAGAGAGAGGGTTCTCAGGCCTGTGCTCTCACACATGTGTGCACTGTGTGTCAGCACTGAGCCTGACTAAATAAGGCAAGGCAGGAGTTGGCTTCTCAATCGCTGACAAGAATATAGTCTTGCAGCCGTCACTGATACAGTAGCCAGTCCGCGTCCTGTTATCATCTGTTAGCGCACTCAGGTTTAGAGCCATTTGTATGTGTGCGAGTTTATCCTTTCGGCACGGACTTTCTTTTTACCATGGCAATAATAATTCCTTCCAAAATGTTAGAGTTGCTACAATTATTGTAAATTATAAATGGGATCTCTATACAAGAATATCTTTGTCATTTTGTTTCATACTTTTTTAATGAAAGTGGTGAGGAGACTGTAAAAACTATGATATTTTGGTGGAAACAATTCTTACCATAGATAATTTTTTTGTAAAAGACTTTGTAAAAAGTTGATTTCATATGAGAGATTTATGTATCCTGCGACTCTCTAGATCTGGTCGAGGCTTTAATGGATAGGATTACCTGAATAGATTAACCATCTTTCTTAATCTTCTGTTTGTCCTCAGCAACAGTTTATGTAGAGGATTGTTTCTTCTATGGCAATCTGCTTTATACACTGCGTTTTGTAGTGATTTGTTGATTGCAAAATAATTTGATGCTAACAAGTTTCCATAGGCATACTTACTTTTATTTGACTTATTTGTCCCTGAATTATATTTTAGGTTCATCCCTTTTTTTTTTTGTATTATTCCTGTCCATTTTATGTGTTTAAGGCTGTCAAGGTCAAAATTTTATTATTGAAGTGAAATATCACGCACCAGTGAAATGCTGTAATTCATTGACATGGAAATGCAAACAGTCCATTAGCGGACTGCAGGCCACGGCAAAAAAATGCTTTACACATTTCGCAGATTTCCTATTTCACTGCTGTTTTGTTCCAGTTTGATAAATATGGAATTTGCACTGAATTTAACTAAAGCAAAATTATTAGATTAATCATGCTTAAATATTTTTAGTGATTTGCAGCCCTAGAATGTTTATATTAATTATCAATGTAGTCTGAAAACATCATATAAACTAGCAGCATAAGAATACAGACAGAAATGTGTATATGTAAAGGCTAACTGGACAGATCAGAATCAAGACACGTGTTGAGTTGCTATAGGCTCAAGCGGGGAGGATGTGCTCCTCTTCACATCTTCATCTGAGCTCTTGTGTGTGATAGAGTGGGCGAATGTGAGGACACACTGCCAAATTAAAACCCTCAGAATTTCTGCAAGTGCTCCATCTGTCGCCTAGGAGATGTTCTTTGGCTCAGACTCCAAAGAATATCACATTAGGTCCATTAACGCCTAGGGAAGGTGCTGCTTATTACTGGCTGACAAATAGTATGTAGATGCTCTCTTAATATTGTTAATATTATACTGTATATGCCTTGTGTGTTTGAAATTCTAATCAGCAGTATAGATATCTTTTAATGTTTATTGCATTCAGAGTCAGGGACAGTTCACTCAAAAATAGCATTTTTCACTCACCCTCATGTTATTTCAAACCCATATGCTGTTTTTTTTTTCTTTCGGTGCAACACAAAAATCACCATAAAAATAGTCTGTCTAATTTGTGTATTCCAGGTATTCTGAGGTCATACAGTAGTTTTATGTTGTGAACAGACTGAAGTAAAATTTCACTGATAATTTTGACCACTTCTTTATAGAAAACAAATAACTTTTGCAGATTTCATTTTTGGGTGAACTATCCCTTTAAGAGGAATCATTTCACAGTGCAAAGTTTGGAGTCTGAAAGTTGTTTTAATGTTTTTGAAGGAAGTCTAAAATACAGTAATATTGTGAAATATTATTACAATTTAATAGAACTGTTTTCTATTTTAATATATTTTCAAATGCTATTTATTTCTGTAGTGGCAAAGCTGAATTTTCAGCATCATTACTCCGGTCTTCAGTGTCACATGATCTTTCAGAAACCATTCTAATATTCTGATTTAAACCTCAAGAAACATTTCTTATCATCAATGTAAAATTCTTTACTGTTGCTTTTGATCAATTTAATGCATCCCTGCTGAATAAAATTATTAAAAAAAAAACTTATCCTGGCCCCAAACTTTTGAACAGTAGTATAACTGTAAAAGCAATGCCGTTCACGCTAAAGCTAGCTCTTGAGACCCATTTGTGACAGGTTTCATTTAGATCTGTGGTGGCTACCGTGAGCTAGATGGATCTCCTCAGGAGCATCAATCCCAAACACCAGACACTCAGTATTTGTTTTAGTGCAATCACATCATGACATGACTCTCTAAATCAAGCTTACAGTATATCTTCCTCCTATTTAAGGTTTCATTTATCACCATTATTGCAATTCTCAGCAGAGGACCAGTGCTATATATCACAATTATACTGTACTAAGTATATACAGTGCAGATCTTATTACTTGAGGTTTGTTTTTTAGAAGGAAAAGAGAAAGCAAGTTTAATTCATTCAACCAGAGCTTTAGATTCAATTTCATTTATTCGCATAGCTCTTCTTAGAATGTGATGAATACAAAGCTCCTCCCCACAGTTAAAGACTATGATCCTTTAAAAGCAAGCTTAGCATAACAGTTGTAATGTGGATGGACTTCGAAAGATACTTTGTCTGGAATCTTTCATGACAGCCGGCTAACACTTAATGACTTCATTCATAGTAAGACTACATGGCCTTGTGCAAAGAGGATAAAAAAAGTAATGGTTAAATGTTTAACAAATAATGACGGAGGAGAAAGCACTGATATTCATATTTTACTCTGCATATGTGATGGGAATTTTATTAAGAAGGCCACTGGCTAAAAGGAGAACAGTGTAGTTTTACTGATAGGAGTAAACCTACAAAAATGTTCACACTGTATTAATTGTTAAATGTAAAACAAACTAAAATTAGGTTTGGATGGCCTTCCAGTGCTCATGGCACTGCGTATCTGTTTTTAAATATATGAAGTTACACTGTATAACTTATACTGTAACATACATGTATACAGAACTCTCTCTTTACTCACTCATCCATGTGTACATCCTCTTAAAAAGTGTTCATCCAATGGGTTATTTAAAGGAGACATATTATGCCCCTTTTTACAATATGTAATATAAGTCTCTGGTGTCCCCAGAATGTGAAACAAAGTTAGTGGGTTAACCTTTTTCACATTTCCTTGGTTGGTAGATGCACTGGAGACCTGATTATAGCACTTAAAACCTGGAAAAGTCAGATTTTCATGATATGTCACCTTTAAGGCCTTGTTGGGCTGATATAAAATACTAAGTTAAATTTAAAAGTTTTATGGATTAAATATGGAGTTGTTTGCTGTATATTAAATATTTATATATTTGCAGTGGTTTCGGAGTTGGCATAAGTCTTTGTGAATATTTCAATGATTTTTAATGCTCTTAAAGTTTCCTAAAAAGTATTTTTGACAAGATATTTTTTTATTTATTTTTTTTTATTTTGGGGGTGTGGTACTAGAGCATTAAAACCGATATATAATGTGATATAAAATATATATCTGAAAAAAACATTATTAAATTATTACAATTTAAAATAACTGGGTTCTATTTCATTTTAAAATGTAGTTAATTTTTGTGATGTCAAAGCAGAATTTTCACCAGCCATTACTATAATATGAAGATTTGTTCCTCAAGAAACATTTGTTGCTTAGGAACATTATTATCAATGTTCAAAACAGTGTTGCTGCTTTATTTTTTGTGGAACCATGATATATATCTTTTTTTCAGGATATTTTTTTAATAGAAAGTTCAACAGTAAAATAGTAATAATAGTTCAATAGTTAACACATGCTAAAACAACATTTATTTGAAATATACATATTTTGTAAGATTATCACATTATGTCTTTACTGACGCTTTTGATTAACTGAATGCATCCTTGCTGAGGCAAAAAAAAAAAAAAGAGAGACATCTTACGGACCCCAGACTTTTGAGTGGTAGTGTATATCAAACTTTCTTTCTTTCTATGTATGTATGTATGTATGTATTTATTTATTTATTTATTTAATGTTTATTGCTATATCACTCAGCCATAGATGATTGTAAATTGACAGAGAACAATTTACTAAAGACTAAAAACAACATTTTGCTCTATTTTTAGCACTATTAGAATTTTGTGAATAGGAAAATGAAAACAGTACACAGCATAGTAACTTGTTTCTTAGCTTCTGTTAATGAAAGCATCATTGTGTGCTTGTTGTGAGCAGCACTGTGGACTTGCAGCCACTGCAGTGTTGGTGGCTGATAGTGCCAGGAGCAATGTTAAAATGATGTATCCTCCTCCCATATCTTATCATGCATGCTGTCTGACTCCAGCTTTGTCTCTTTGCTTGACATAGAACCGCACACGCCAGGGCCAAAGCAGAGGCAGCTGACCAGGCGGCCCTGTCTGCCAGCCAGGACTCTGATATCGCCAGAGCAGTGGCCAGAGAACTGTCCCCCAGCTTCTATCAACCAGGTATCCCACCATCCACGTGCACATTCGCTTTTCTGTCATGCATACGCACACGTTTTCTACGCCCTTTCGCCCCTTCCTAATAGCTCCCTTTGTGTCCTTGTCTTTGTGTCTGGGTCAAGTGTCTCTTTTTTTGCCTCCCTGTCAAGCAAAGGCAAAGAGAGCAGATGCAATTGCAAATGAGTTGTGAAGGGGAGGAGTACCATTTGCATAAATGATCTACTGCTTCTCTGAGCCCAGCTCTGACCGATTTTAATTCCTGCAAATTATTAAAAAAAAACATCAGGGTCAAGAATTGTAAATCTGTGTGGCAGACTGTATATTTTATTATGTAACATTTCATTTCATTATCCTAACTAATACGTTAGCATTACCAACATGAAACAAGTTGGTGAATGTCACGGGGCATATACTGTATATGTATGATTTATAATATCACATTAACCTCAATTCAGTGAGACCACAGTTTCTTCAACCTCTTTCTGCGCATATAAAGCCTTGTTAAAGCCAAAAAGCCTTTGGCATTTGACCATACATTACCAAATGGTTTCGGGATAATTCCTAAACACTCGACGTGGAATCCTTAAATCCCCACCCCCAACTCAATCGCAGGTCTCCATGGCTGGCCACTGACGTCTTGCTTATAAAGCTAAATATATTTTACACGCTGTGGATTACTGTCTTGTTCAAAATCCTTGTTGCTTCCTGAAGTATTTTAAATAAGTAATATAAATAAATAATATGTGATATATAATTAATGTAAATAAATAATATAGAAATAATTGTCTTTTACATTAGCAGCAGCTTAGATTCAATTGTCAGTTAATTGTACACTAGCCAGTTCTGACAGCATAGTCACAGTGGGATTAAAGCTGTTGTTTAAGGGAAAAAATTTGTCCACTATAAAAGGTTGGGTGGGTCCAAAGAATCATATTGCTGAATCCCCACAACTGTGGTAGCTGTTTGTGAATTATAACAATCAGAGCCTTAAACTTTTGAAATACCTGCATTTTTCTGAATGAGATCAAATGTTTAACAGGCCTACCAGCACGAGTATCATATCAATTTTTTAATATTTTTTTTTAGGATAAATCTGTTGTCTGTTAGGTGCGGGGCATTATTCAGAATTGAATAAGCACATGTTGTATGTAAATATTGCCCTGGACTAGTAAGTGTAACGCCCCTGTGGACTGTTTATTGTGGTTTCTTCCCCTTTTGTTGGTTTAGCCCGTATGATCATTAAGTTAATTACCCTCATTGTGCTCACCTGTCTGCCACTGATTACCCACCCTATATTAGTTCCTGTCTGTCTCAGCTTTGGGGGTCAGTTATTGTGAATGTTACCCCGAGTGTGTGTGTGTGTCTCACCTTCCTCCCGCCTTCCAAATCCTACTGCTGGAGCAGGGGGAATGCTCTCTTGAGGACCACACAGATGACTTTCTGTCCCTGGCTCACCTCACGCACTACCCGGACAACTGCCTCTGTACATTCTATCAGGTTGGACTTAACGCCACAACACGAGCGCAGTTGTCCAGGGATGGTCCTCGAGAGAGCCTCGCCACCTTCATCGAGTGGGTGCTGGTGTCCTGCAAGTCCCATCTGACCGTGGACATCGCTGACAACAACACCAGCCCCACTCAGGACCCTGAGCCCAGCCCACCATCTCCCCGC